TGCGAATACCCCCCATTCCAGCTTGCTTAATTTCTCGTACAAATTCTGGTAATATTTTTGAAGAAACCGATTAATGGAAATCGACAGTGGTTCGAGACCGTGTATTAATTTGTTGACACACTCTAAATGGTCAATATTATGACTACTTGCACTGTTCGAACTTGTGTAGGGAAGGGGGTTATTTAAAGCAAATACGCCAAAGTGTTCAATGAAATTTTTCCAGAAACTTTCGCTTCTGTGTGATGGGTGCTCTAATGTATGAAAATAATAATGATTCACCACGTCCGTTGCTTGGGTTATCGCGGTTGGATTGTTGAGTATCTCGAGGTGGATTAATGTTCGTCCATACTGATCTGTAACGCATTCTGGATTAATAATATAACGAAATTGAGATAACCCATCCAATGATTGAAAATCATTATGCGCAGAAATGGTGAGTTGGGTTTTTGATTTTCGGGAGATACGTTCATTTACCATAATCGGAGAATTTTGCGAATTTATATTGCTTCTAACTTCCATTGCATGTTGGAGCTTCTTCCATTTACGCCGAAGATGCTGACGTACTTCCCTTCTTGTGAGTGGTTCTTCCATCCCCAACCATTGACCGAGCGAAAGCCATAAATCTTCATTCAGATTCTCAGTTCGATACTTCACTTTACTAATATGATTACCTTTGATTATTTCATCGTCGATAAGCGCTAGAAAATCAGGTGGGATCTCCGATTGCTCAATACTATTTATGAATCTAGATTCTCGAATTAATGTTTCCATTAACAATTCCTCAGCTGAAACTTTTTCCCGACTTTTAACACCTTTAGACGCTACGCAATCTGATGGGGTAAGGGGGACACTCCGCCATTCTTTCTCGATATAGAATATTTTGTCTTCTGTGCTTAATCCGCGGGTCCCCAATTGGGTTCGATGCTAATTGTAATAGACTATCCGTAAGATTAATAATAACAAAAGATGGTCATTTAACAATAGATTAACCCCTTTAACCAGATTTTTCTTTTGCGGATTGAACAAACCACCCAAAACAAATTATTGAGTTATTTAAATAATAACTACGTGTCTGTTGAAACACAGATATACAAAGCCAGAGACATAACTGAGTATACCCAATAATTGCTTGGAGAAGAATGACCGATCATTTGCAGAGCAAAAACACAAAGAAAACCTGACACGAGGGATAGTCTAATAAAAAACAATATAACAATATATACTCGGTTTGGGTCAAAAATAATGCACGGTGAGACGAGTCTTATTTCGGGAAGAATATCGCTTATTGACAACGGCATGGTTGGTGTATGCTCATTTTGATCCACTGGTAAAGTACTCGAAGAGCGTCCCATAGGGCCTGATTTTTGTTCCTTACGAAGCTTACGTTTTTTATTATAGCGAACACTACGTGACAATTTCTTAGGTGTTTTCTCTTGCGACATACTAATATAGGAATGAAAAGCGGTGTATTACTAATTGGCAGAGAAATCAAAAGCAACACTATTCGACGAGCCGTTAAGGTCAAATAACCCTAGAGCCGAGTCCTACTCAAGAGGAATAGTATTACTTTCGCAGAAAAAAAAAAGAAGCGTGGGAGCCAAGGTAACCAATCGCAGATAATCGGTAGGGGTATATATATGGCGATTGCCCAATCATGATGAGGCAACTGATAATGCGTCGTTCTATATCTGGGATAATCTATTTCGGGCGTGAAATCTATTTCGGGCTGTACTACAAACAAGCATAGAATTAATTTCCCGGAGAATATGTGCCAGATAAATAACGCGTGACGATAGTTTGAAAAATTGACATCTTTATTGAGATAAATATAAATACAAGATAGAAAAAAAAGACATATAACGAAATCTAGTAGTCATCTCGTGGAGTGGAAACTGTAGTACTACCTTCCATTTGTCTTTGCGATGTGGCAATGAGTGCGTGGTATAATAAAGATAAGTTAGTAATTACTATATTACGTAGAAGTAACAAAGTTTCTATAAATTTAGTTACAACAGCTTCATCTGAAAATTGTACAGGAATTTCGGCAGATTGTAAATGGTAATATCGGTATACATTAACCATATCTCGTATGAGAAGATTCAAGTGTAATACATTACCTGCTACTTGCATACCTACAATACCAAACTGATCTTTATCTGGTTTAAGACTTTGA